TACCGAACCACACTCTTGACAATATTGGGAATCCAAGCAAAATCCTGCTTGCCTCCCTCTAGATCTATTCTAACTAGCTATGCTATGGAGGAGGAGGAGCTCTGAGGAGATTAGGGTTCCTGTCTTCTCAAAGGACTTGATGACTTATGATTCCTGGGGGAGGCAGGGGCTGGATTATATAGCCCTGAGGGTCCAACATGAGCCCTTAGATCAAACCAACTTAAGCAACGGCCTAGATGCATCCTCAAAGGTGGTGGGAGACCGCCATACGAAGTTGGCTGACAGGTGGGACCAGGGGGGCGGGCAGCCCCACCTGCAGGCCGGGTGGCTCCACCTGTCAAGTGGTGGCCCTCCACTTTGGTGACATGGCTTATGGACCCTTCTAGAGTCTTCCCACATAGGTACCGCGGTGGAACTCCGTATTATCTCTTTGTCTGTGTGTGTGCGGGTTTGTGTGTGTGTGTTTTTTCTGCTATTTTTTTGCCTTGCCTATTTTGCTCTTTTTTTGGTGTGTTTGTGTGTGTGTGGGGGGGTGGGTTTTGTGTGGCTGTGGGTGTATTTGTTTTGTGTGGGGGTGATAGGCGCCTGAGTTCTTTGTGATGATTTGGTCTAAATTTTAATGCGTGATATTTTTTGTTTTAATTTTTTTTGGGTGTGTGTTTGTGGTTGTGGGTGCAGTGTCTTTGATAGCTGTTTTTGTTTGTCTTTGTCTTTGTGTGTGGGTTTTGTGTGTGTGTCTCAACCTCTATCTCTGTGTGTGTCTTTGTGTGTGTTCCCATCTTTCTCTCTCCCCCTCTGTTTCTCTCTCTCTCTCTCTCTCTCTCTCTGTTTGTGTTTTTTGTGGTTGTGGGTGTGGTTTTTATTGTTTATTGGGTGTGTTTTTATATTTGAGTTGTTCAGTTATAGATGTGCTTTGTACAAGTTTTTTGGTAGCTTTTTGTGTGTGTCTGTGTGTGTGGGTGGGTGGGAGCTAGCTTTGGTGAGAGTGTGAGTGCGTTTGTGTGTGTGGTTGCATCTGTTTTTGGGGCCGATCTTTCTTTTTGTCTATGTATCTCTTTCTGTGTGTTTATGTGTTTGTGCCTTCGTCTTATTGATTTTATGCTTTGGTGAAATGCAAATGTACGATATCTTCCCGCTTCTCCCAGCCAAGATTCAGGTTGGAGTCTCTTTTCTCTGCTACTATGCCTCCTGAGGCCCTTGAGATTATTTGTTCTCCTGTCTGTCTGTGTCTGTCTATGACTATAGGAGTAGGAGTATTTATTCTCTCTCTCTCTCTCTGTTAGTGTGAGTGTGATTTTGAGGTGTGATTGTTTATTTAGTTTAGTTGCATTTTGCCTTTTGAGTTTGCTATGTTTGGTAGCTGCACTCTCTCTCTCTCTCTCTCTGTTTCTTTTTCTTTGTATGTGTGTATGGGTGTGGTTTTTTTTCCGTTCTCTTCCTTGTCCATGTGAGCCATGTTGTAATTAAGAGCTCTAGTTGAACCACCCAAGATGTTTTCCTGTTCGTTGTGGTGGAATAAATAATATATAAGTTGCTCTGCTTCAAGTAGAATTTTTCATTTATTAGTTGACTTTCATTTGCATTCTCAGACTCTGAGGATGGTTATCATGATTTTGGGAAATTTGTTGTGTAGCTGGTCTTTTGTTTGACTTAATCTATGTGTTTTTATTATTGTAGTGACTTTGTCACCTCTCATGGGTGTCAAGTCGTTCGTCAATCCCTGGGTGCTCTTAGTGAATCACTGATTGTTGTTGTAGTTCACGATTAGATAATTTTGTTTTTCCCTGGCCTGGGCATGCTGAAGGGAGCATTATTACTGACTGAACTGAATCCACGTAAGGTGACTGGCAAGTAGATTGAGACAGGAGTTCAGGAACAATGGCATTATAGAATCTTATATTTTTTTCTATGTTTTATGACCAAGGTCTAGTTAAGCTCTATTTGTAGTCACTACAGCTTCTCAAGGATGCAATATTTGATCCTGAGTGTACACCTTGTATCCTTTTCAGTAGTCCACAGACTTGTTCAACGTTTATAAGTTTCCTTGACATTGTATTTTTGCCTATGTTTGCTTATCAGTAAAAGTTATTGTCCCTGGTGATTTCTCGCTGGCAGGAACGATGTTCTTTTCCTTTTTGCAGAGATGCATGAACCACTCATGCTGTCCAAATGCTAAAGCATTTAAGAGAGATGAGTTGAGTGTGTGCATTTTTGTCTGAGTGGACCAGTTCATTTGTCATGCCATTTTGCCATCAGCAAGGCAGATCTGAGCTGTTGGAATACCATTGCAGGACAAGGATGGCCATGCAGTGATAATTGCTCTTACACCTATCAACAAGGACGAAGAGGTATCCTATTCTTTTTGAAATCGTTTCGATTAGGCAATCAAGGCGAGAACTTTGGCTATGTATGTTGCACCTATTCTTTTCTTGAAGTTGCTTTTTGCTGCTAATGCAATAGTTGAAAACTGTTGCTGCTGCTGGGTGGTTGCTGGTTGAGATACTCAAGGCCAATTGGTGTACAGATTTATGTTCAGGTATATTCTTTAGGTTGTTTCTGGGATGTCTTTTGATGTTTTGACGTATATTGCTTGGTTCAGTTATTGATGTGGTGATTACTTGATTTTGTGAGGGAGCATTAGAAGGTGGAGTTGACTTGTTTTAGATGTAATTTTCATAGCTGTGATGGTCTATTTATTTTGCGTTTTATATGTGAAGATTGCTTGCAAGTGTGAGGATTTTGGTCGTTCCCTGCAGGTTATATGAGTTGTGTTTTTCTTCAGTGTGTGTTGTTGCTGACATCTTCAGTGTGTGGACTGCTCTGTTGCTGTCGTTGAGGCATTGGATGTGTGTGTTGCATGACTTCGCTTCTGTTTGTTTGGATGGCATTCCATCCGAGTGCCTTTTGATATGTAGGGATTGCAGGTATAGCTATTTTTAGAGTGTTGTCGTTTTCTATATTTTCCCTAGGTTGATTTGAGAAAATTGTTATTCTGAAAATCTAATGTCACTTAATTTTGAATGTGTAAGAGTAGATGATTTTTCTCAGGTTTGTAGCATGTCTGATATTAGATGTTTGTTTTAGCCTTTTTGTGTTCATGTTTCGCTAGTTTTTCATGCTATTTTTCCCTCGTGGTGTAGGACTGCTCGTGGCATCTTTTTGATTTTGCTGTTGTTTTCTTGGTGCTTGGTCCGATGAGTAGAGGAAAAACTATGCTTTTGTTTTTTCTTCAACAAAGTCCTAGGAGTGCCTATGCTGCTTTTAGTAGGTGGTGATATTTAGTTATCAGCTTTGTTGATCCTATGCAATTATTTGTTTTGTTCTTTTGGGGTTTCACTGATTTTTAGTTGTTGATCATTTGATGGTTCATTTGAGTTTTGCACTCTACATTTTATGTTTGGACTTCCAATCTTTATCTGCATTTTTAGTGAAGTGAATCTAAATTGACCTTCTGTAGGCACTTGATTGTTTTGGCTGTCATCACATTTGTTGGCGCAACTGATTTGGCTGAAACAGAGTTATCTCTTGAAAGCCATCTGGGATGCGATTCATCCAAAACCTGGTTGAAATGTAATTTTTCCTATTTACTTGTTACTGTATTTTCCAAGCTAATGTTGGAAGGAGGTGCATCCAATTTTTCTAAGATGACTGAACATGGTTGGAATCTCTGCAGGTGGGAACTTGCCGGATCTTGCCATACATGCTGCGAGGGGTCTCATAGATGGCAACTACCTCATTCTGGTGGCATTGCTCGCCAGTGCTTGTTTCTTTCTAGTGATGGCAGCTCAACCATGTGCATGATTCTGCCCGGAAGGTACAGCTGTTGAGGCTCCTGGGAGGCCATTCGCGATGATCGCAAGGCCTTCAGAAGTTGATCCATGTGTTCTTGTTTTGAAACTGATATCTGACAGTTGAGTTCTTCAGGAAAGCATGAGGCTGGTTCTCCTGCAGTTGTTGGTTTTTTAGTCTTGTGCTTAGTTCCTCTGGCAGACATCAATGCTGGAATGCCCTTAGTGGGGTTCACCAGAGACTCCAGAACTTGCGTATTGACAGCAACAGATGACCAGCTAGACAGTGCAGAGTGCTTCTGCACAGCAGCACGCACATTTGCTGAAAGGTTCAACTCATCCTGAGATGCCACAAGGATTAAGGAAGCAATTCAGTGCATTGCAAATAGAAACATCAAAGAATAAGATATTTCAGAGTACTAGGCCTCCTGTGTTAGCGGCTGCTGTATCTGCATAGACTACTATTCGTTCATGGAGGATAAATACCGATAGTTTGAAAGAGTCAGTGTTCTCTGTTTTCTTCCTGTGGGATGTTTGTGCACACTAATGTATCGATAGAAAGAGTGATTTGTTAACGGGTTTTGGTTCTTTGTCTTTGGGTATTTGAACCCTGTTATGCAAATATGACAGATTTGGCTTTGTAACGTCTGTCAGTTTTTCTGGACAGATGTGTCAGCTTTTGATTTGTCAAAAATTTGACAGATTTTGGGGTGACAAATCTGTCAACCGTTAACTAGTAAGTCCCTATTTTTTAACAACAAAAATCAAGTGGGAGCCAGTATGGAAAGATTCAGAGGGAACAATTCCTCGGAAGTTTCTTTTCATTTACAAAACAAATGCTTAGAAGAACTGGTGAGAAGAGTGGGTCGTTAGATTGTGACAACCAAACGCACCCAACAAACACACTTGTGTTGTGACAAACAAATGCGTATGGCCGTTGACAAACAAATGCGTATGGCAACCAGACGCAACCAGACGCTCCCGCTGTGGACGAGTCTCGCCTGCAGTACTGCCACCATCACCAGTTCACCACTACGAGTCTATGGCGTTTGAGTATCATCATGCATAAATTGTCAAATACTCAATCGTCACTGGGAGGGAAAGAAAAAGAACGGACCTCAGGCCGCCTCCAGCCCTCCACTCCACGTCTATCTAGTCGATCTTCTTCCCCGATCGAAAGCACTGCTTCCGGCACCAGCCAGCATGCAAGCCATGAAGAGGACGATCGTTCTGTACCCCGGCCTCTTCGTCAGCCACTTCGTCCCCATGATGCAGCTCGCCGACGCACTCCTGGAGGCGGGCTACGCTGTCGCGGTCGCGCTCATCGACCTCACCTTGGACCAAGACGTCGCCCTGGCAGCCGCCGTCGACCGCGTCGCCTCCACCAAGCCGTCGCCGTCGGTCACCATCCACAGGCTCCCTCGGATCCAGAACCCTCCCGCGATCGCAGACTGCGGTGGCGACGCAATCCTCTGGTACTTCAAGACTGTCAAACGCTACAACGATCGCCTCCGCGAGTTCCTCTGCTCCCTGCGCGTCGTCCACGCGGTGATCGTGGATGGGCCCTCCGCCGACGCGCTCGACGTCACCAAGGAGCTTGGCGTCCCGGCCTACACCTTCTTCGCCACCAACGCCTCCGCCGTGGCGGTGTTCCTCCAGCTTCCTTGGACCCACGATGAGGAAGGCCAGCCAAGCTTCAAGGAGCTCGGAGACACCCGTCTCAGCATCTCCGGCGTGCCACCCATGCCGGCGTCATACCTCATGCCATCGATGCTCCAGGACCCGGCCAGTGAGACGTACAAGACGATGATGCGTGTGATGCGCCGGAACCCCGAGCCCGATGGCATCTTGGTGAACTCGTTCGCGTCGCTGGAGGCCCGGGTGGTGAGAGCTCTCAGGGACCCACTGTTCCTCCCCATCGGCGACGGGGACGGCAGCGGGTGCAGGAGGACCCCTCCGGTGTACTGCGTGGGGCCGCTGGTCGTGGGAGCCAGTGAAGGCGACGGCGAGACGAAAGAAAAGCACGAGTGCCTCGCGTGGCTCGACGAGCAACCAGAGCGCAGCGTCGTGTTCCTCTGCTTCGGAAGCTTAGGCACAGCCACCCACTCGGATGAGCAGCTCAGGGAGATCGCCGTCGGCCTGGAGAGGTCCGGCCACCGGTTCCTGTGGGTGGTGCGTGCGCCTCTCCCCACCGAGGGCGTGGACCCGGGGAGACTGTTCGACCCGCGCGCCGACTCCGACCTCCGCGCGCTCCTGCCGCCCGGGTTCTTGGAGAGGACCAGAGCTCGCGGCCTCGTCGTGAAGCTGTGGGCGCCGCAGGTGGACGTGCTCAACCACAGGGCCACAGGTGCCTTCGTGACGCACTGCGGGTGGAACTCGGTGATGGAGGCGATCACGGCCGGTGTGCCGATGCTTTGCTGGCCTCTGTACGCGGAGCAGAAGATGAACTCGGTGGTCATGGTGGAGGAGGTTGGCATCGGCGTGGATTTGGTTGGATGGCAGCAGGGGCTGGTCAAGGCCGAGGAGGTCGAGGGCAAGGTAAGGATGGTGATGGAGTCCGAGGAAGGGGAGCAGCTCAGAGCACGTGTGGCGGCGCACAGGGATGCTGCGGCGTGGCCTGGAAGGACGGCGGCTCATCGCGCGCGGCATTTGGTGAGTTCTTGTCGGACGTGGACAGCCATGTACATGTACGAGGCCAAGATATGGAGTAGCGCTAATGGTCGTAATGGCAAATTGCGTCAAAGCTGAGAGCCTGAGATGCTTTCCTTGTACGCTGTGGTACGTTGTGAGGATGCCCGGTGGGGTTGCACACCGCATGTGTCCGGTGTTCTTTTGTCAATGAAAAGTTCAAACGACAATTTTATCATTTTAATGAGATGTTTATAGGCCAGGTGAAATCACATTTAGAGATTTTAATTTACTAATTCACTATAATTACTACTACACAATGGGCTTGTTCGGTATCCATTCAGCAGCAAATGAGTTTGCTGGTTAGATGTGTTAACATGTCCAATGGTAAAATTAGAATAGAGGAGTACTTTCTTCGTTTCTTGAAGGTAGATGACACGTCGGGTTCAAATTTTTATCAGTGTATTGGTTGATTCCATGAGTCTTTTGGTCTTGATATTAATGACATTAGGGGACAGGGTTATGATAATGGTTTTGATATGAAAGAAAGGGGTTCAAAGGCGGTTGCTTGATATAAATCCAAGAGCTATGTATATCCCATGTGCTTGCCATAGTCTAAACTTCACTCTTTGTGGTATGGCTAAATATTGTAGTAAAGTTGTCACTGTTTTTTTTTTTTGAATTGAGCAACAAATATATGTATTGTTTGCTAGTTCTATCAAAAGATGGCAATTTTTGCTTGATCATGTTCAAGGTTTAACCATGAAATCTTTGTGCAACACCTGTTGGGAGAGTCATACCAAAGTGTCATAGCAATTAGATATCAAGCTCCTCAACTAAGGTCATCTCTACTTAAGTTAAGTGAAGAAATTGCACCCAAGGATAGAAGCAATGCAAAAAAAAAAATTTGAAGTGCTTGGTAGATTTGAGTTTATATTTGGCATGCCATTTTATTTGTTGTCCATAAAGTCAGCAAGAAATTGCAATCACCATCTATGTGCATCGAGTCTATATTACAACAAATCGAAGGCATGATGAATTATTTTGATACCTATAGAAATGAATGGTTTGCTTCTTGTATGATCACTGCCAAAGAAATTGCACCTAAAATGGGCGTGGAGCCATCATTTTCAGTAAGTTGTCGTGCTCTTAGGAAGAAGCACTAGGATGAAATTGATTGTAACAAAGCAATCTTGTAAGCTGAGAAAGCTAGCCTTTGAAGTTGATTACTTCTGGTTATGGTTGACATGGCAATCGGTTCATTGAATAGTAGATTTGAAGAACTCCAAGCATCCAGAGAAATATTTGGGTTCTTAATGAGTTCAGCAAACTTGAAGTCATTGGATGCTTCCGAACTAGAAGGGTGTTGCACGATATTGGCAATGACTTTCTCTCCAGATGGTTCATCTGACATTGAGTTAAATGATTTAATTTCTAAAGTTAAATCTTCGGCAATTCACCTTTGCCAGACATACCAATGTCAGCTATGGATTGTTATCCTGATACTTCCATTGCTTATCACATCTTATTTACTATGCCTGTGACTGTGGCATCTGAAAGAACCTTCTCAAAATTTAAATTGTCGAGATCTATAATATCTCAAAAGAGGTTAAATGGTTTGGCAACACTATGCATTGAGATTATTAGACGAAATTGATTATATGGTATCCATTATCAACGACCTTGCATTGAGGAACATTAGAAATTTTTTAAGGTAATTTAATTAATATTTATAATTATTTCATATGAATATTGCTTTAAGTGATATTTTAAATGTGGTAACATTTTATATATCAATGTTAAGAATTATTTTGGTCATATTTATAAAGGGGTTCTGATTTTAAGTTTGCTCTAGGCCCCAAAATCCTCCTCATGACCAGCACTGTCTCTTGCGTTCCATGCGGGCTGCGGCGAGCTAGTTTCTCTTGTTTATATTATTGTTCCTTGAGATCTGCTAGCTGTAATAGTTAATATAAGAACCAGATCGTCAAGCTTAATTTTGATCAGGCGAAGACTTCGATAGATTTATATTGACTCATCGTTAGACTTAGATATCATATGCGGCACCCTATAATCAACCATGGTGCGTGCTGCTGCTACTTTTTGTTTAACAGAACTGACAGGTGCTCTGCCTTTTCATTCAGTCTGAATATTTACAAGGTAATGAAAAGAGCAAAGAAATAAAACAACTAAAACACTATTGTGGAACTACTGATTATCCTCAAAAGCTAGGCGTTGCATCTGTACATCATTGATAATGTCTTGCAAGAGTTCTTGTGTGGAGCGCGCTTTGTTGTCGAAGACTCGCCGGCATCTTTCCTTCCACAAATTCCAAACAGTATAGGTTATTAGGCGTGTTCGCTGCACCTCATCTTCTTTATGCCCTTGTGTTTTGGTAATCTGCGTCCACCACTCTTTCATGTTTGTCATGGTAGTTGACAGCCCGTGCACATTATGTGTGAGTCCCACCTGCCGCCAAAGCCTTTTGGCATAGCTGCATTTAACCATCATGTGCAAATGAGTTTCTTGTCTGCAATGACATAGCTTGCAAATCGGGTCCGCCTGTCCTCCCCTCTTGATGATTCGATCAGCCGTTGGAAGTTTTAACTGAAGCAGCAGCCATATGAAGAAGCAGCACTTTGGCTCTGCTTTTATTTTCCATACCTTTCTCCAGTTATGATGCGGAAAAGTCCCGACAAACTGCGCATCGTATGCTGATCTTGCTGAATATTTTCCTGAAGATTCGAATCTCCATGAGATAGTGTCCTCACTTTCCTGTAATTGGACTCCCTGCAACTGACTCCAAAGATCGACAAACTGGCGGAGCTGTTCCTCCGTGTTCATTCGGCGAAGTCCTCGCATCCACCGTCGTCCCTGCAAGGCACAGGCGACGGGATGGTTTTTGCGCCTTGCCAGCCTGAAGCACGCAGGAGCGATGTCCATTGGAGCTTTCCCATTTAACCAATTGTCTTTCCAAAATCTTGCCCTTTTCCGTTGCCTAGCGTGATTATTGTGCAGGTTTTGAATAACTCTTCCTCACTCTTACTCATTTTGATTGTCAATCCCGTCCATGGTTTATCTGGAGCAGCCCATCTGTACCACATCCATCTAAGGCGCAGCGCTCTGTTGAAGCACGCCAAATCCTTTATGCCTAGGCCTCCCAAAGATTTTGGTTGCCTTACCCTTCGCCAATTCACCAAACAGTTGCCTGAAATTCCTTCTAATTCTGTCCATCTTCTTAATTGCCCACTTCGAAAGAGGGCTGTCATGTGGTATGACGGTATTGATGAAAGCACCGATCGAACTAGTATCAATCTACCAGATTTTGTCATCAGGCGTCCTTTCCAGCCTTGTAGCTTGGCACCCACTTTGTCGACGAGCACTTGTTCTGCCTCTCTTTTTAACCTTCCAATATGCAGAGGTAGTCCTAGGTATTTGCATGGAAATTGACATGGTTTTCCTTGGAAAGATGCTGCAAGGTCAATCCCATTAATAAGGCAGTTGATTCCATATAACTCGGATTTGGATATGTTGGTGTGAAGGCTGTCAGTTGATCTCCACCAATAGGCCCAACAGCCTATTGGGCCCTTGTTTTTGCTCCCTGATCGGGGGAGCCCAACCCTAATACGGTTGGTGGGCCCCTATCGCACAACACATATAAAAGGTAAGGTGGAGATCAGGGCTCGTGCTACGAGGTTCAACGGAGCCGCCGCCATCCCACCCACAGTAAACCTAAACCAATCTAAAGCAGTGCTGCCAGCGACGGGATGCCCCACCACCACCGTCGTCTCCTCTGCAGGGTCACCACGGTCTTCACCAGCGCCACTGGACTTCATCTCTACCGCGTTGGAGGCCTACTACACCGCGGCACCGGCGTCCGTGAGGCTACAACCAAGGTGTGCAGAGGAACCCAAAGCAGAGGTCTACCCGGTTCTACGGTTATACAGAAAGGTACACCAATGATTCTAACAATGGTACCAGAGCCAGGTTGCCAGTGTGTAACCCTAACCCTCACCGGGTAAAAGCAAAGAGGAAAAGAGACCGGGGGTGGCGTACGTCACTAGAACCCGGTCACCACCGCCATCGCGTGGGGAAAAGATGCCGCACCACCGTTCTCACCGGCGCACGGCAAGAACAGAACAGATCCAGTTCGGATCTAAGGAAAGATGAACAGAAAGGTTCTCCAAGCCTAACCCTAACTCGCATGAAGAAGGGCAAGGGAAGCGATTCGGATGAACTCCTAAAAGAAAAGAAATCAAAAGAAAAGTGCAAATCACGAAACCCTAACCCTAGTACCCCAATCGGTTGAATCCGTAGAAAGAAGCAGATTCAAAATAAAAGAAGGGGAAGAGGGGAAGGGGATAATCTCAAAGATCTCGAATCAAACCAAAAGAAAACACGAATCGGGTTCAACCGAACCCTAACCCTAGATCCCCTTTTCGGGTGAACAAGCGAAAAGAAAAGAAAGAAGATACAAAAGAAAATCCGAAGGGGAAGAAGAAAAGGAACCCTAGATTCCCATTCGGATTGAACCCTAGAACAAACCCTAATTCCCCATAGTCGGTTTGGAAAAGAGAAGATCAATCCAAATCGAAAAGAATAAGGGGAAGGGGAAGGAGAAAGGGAAAGGGGAACGAAACAAACCTCGCCGTGCGTCGGGATGGCCCTTTCTTCGGCGCGGGAGAAGAAGGGCCGATCCGGGGCAGTACCGCCTCACGGGCTCGGCCAAAGGGGCCATGCCATGCGCCGCCGCTTCGGCGGCGCGTGCTCACCCGTTAGGAGCATGCTTGCCAGCCGAGGGGGGGGCAACGACGACGCCATGGTCGCTCCACCGTCTTGCTCGCTCTCGCTCGGTTTCATCGCTGTGCGGTGAGAGCGGAGTGGAAAGCGGCGAAGAGAGAAAGAAGAGAGAAATGGGCAGGGGGTGAATGGCGCTAGGGTTGTAGGGAGCCGAGCGGCGCTGGGGTTTTCACCGGCCGAAACGCCCGCTCGGCCGTCCAATTGGATTCAACGGCGCCAGATGCATGAGCCGCATCACGGCCCGCAGCGAGTGAAGGCCATGACGCTTTCTTGCCCAGCCCACGCTATGCGGCTCGGTAAGCGCAACAGCAGAGAGAGAG